AAGGATTCTTCAGCTCCAGAACAACATAGCTTCTTCCTTAGCAGTACCTTCGGACTTTCTGACTGTGATGCTCAAGCCTGACGTGCCTTAGAATTTATTCAGCATATGAGTACTGAGAGAAATGCATCTCCAGTAGGTATATGTGAAATAGCCACGTCATTTTTAGCCCAGGAGGTATCTCTGAGGTGCTGCTTCACCAACTGGTCTTACTTATGAAACCCTTCTCCACCCTTCAAGAGCTTCTAAAATGGAGAATGTGCATTCACTTCAAGAATTCAGTTCGGATCAATTCTCAGTTTGACCCAGCAAACTTGGCACACTTAAATCAACAACATGAGACTACAATAATAAAGACCTTGCACAAAAATGGAGAAGATTAATTCACTAAAACGAGTAATGCATAAAATGAAAACCATTTATCACACTGATATTTTTTTAAAAAAATCTTAATCTGCCTTCTTATTTTGCATGTATGCTAATTACAAATTAACTGCCTGATCAACAGCTTATGCCATTGAACCATCTATTTGATTATACTGTCAAAACAGGCAGTCAGAAGTTTACACTGCTAACTGTATGTGTATTCAGCTTACAGAAGGAATCCTACTATCTTCAAACATCTTTACACAAACGCAAGTTCTCTTTTAGTTCATTATCAATTTTCACAGTTTAATTGAAATAGATAAAATCTCTTAGAGGATCAGGAGAAAGTAGTACTTCTGACTTTTAAAAGAACCTAAAGGTTAAAGCCCAAACTGCTAAAGCAACATACACATATCTATAAACACTGAAACTACTTCAGTATCTTTAGTATACCTTTAACATCTGGATCGTCTATATGGGGTTCCAAATTCTCTATCATTTCTTCTAATTCTTTTCTTGTTGCCATAGGAATGTTTGGAGACACTGGCATAGTGAGTTCCTGAATTTCTCTATCAAGCATTATCTCAGAAGTCTGCTGAAGCTCAAAGTCAATGTCTATTTCAGGAAGTGGAGTCCTCCAGAAATGGAAAGAGTTGTACAATTCCTGCTCTGAAAGAGAGGCTTCCTGTGAATTCAGCTCAGTCTCCTGCAGACCAGCTGTACAGCAATGAGAACTTCGCTCGTTCTCATCAGCCATTTCCCCACAAGATTCTGAAGACAAAGTGCAATGGAAAGATGACTCAGTCTGGAAATCATTTTCCCTCTGGGAGTTATTTGACACTGTATTTTGATCTTCCATGGCATTTTCAAGTTTTGTTGCAAAATCGTCATTATCAACATGTGCAGGCAGATCCTCTGTCCTGTTGTGCTCATCCTCTGTTGTGACATCTTCTGTAGTCCTGACTTGTTCACTGTCGAGTGCCAAAGCAGATGAACATTTAAAAACCAAAATATACCCGCTGCAAACAGATGCTCTTGAAAATTCACACATATGCTATCAACTTGCTATTTATCAAACTAGCTTTACTTACAGCATAGCAAAATAAACTATAGAATCACAGACTGGTTGAGGTTGGAAGAGACTCCTAATGGTCACCTGAGACAACTGCCCTGCTCAAGCAGGGCCACCCAGAACAAGTTCCCCAGAACTGTGTCCAAATGGCTTTTGAGTATTTCAGAGGACAGTGACTCCACAGCCTCCCTGGACAATCTGTGCCAGTGCTCAGTCATCTTCATAGTAAAAAAAGTGTTTCTTGGTGTTCAGAGGGAACTTAATCTGATTCAGGTTGTGCCCACTGCCTCTGGCCCTGTCACCGTCACCACTGGAAAGAGCCTGGCTCTGTCCTTCTTGCACTCTCCCTTCAGGTATTTGTATACATCAAGAAGATCCCTCTGAGCCTTCTCTTCTCCAGGCTGAGCAGTCCCAGCTCTCCCAGCCTTTCCTCACAAAAGGAGATCCTTCAGTCCCTTCATCATCTTTGTGGCCATTCCTGGACTCTATCTAGCATGTCCATGTGTCTCTTACAACAGAGCTCTCAGAACTACACCCAGCATCCCAGCTGCGATTTCACCAGTACAAAGCAGAGGGGAAGGATCACCTCCCTTGAACTGCTGGCAATAGTCCTAAAGCAGCCCAGGATACCATTGGCCTTTACTGCAAGAGCACATTGCTATGTCATGGTCCACCTGGTGTTCACAATGTCCCTTAGGGGCTTTTCTGCAAAGCCGCTCTCCATCTGGTCAGACCCTAGCAGGTACTGGTGCCAGGGGTTGTTTCTCCCCAGGTATAGGACTCTGCACTTGTCCTTGTTGAACTTGAGCAGGTTCCTGCCAACCCATTTTTCCAGCCTCTTGAGGCTCTCTCTGGGTGTCAGCATGACCCTCTGGCACACTAGCCACTCCTCCCAGGTTGTGTCATCAGCAAACTTGCTGAGGGTGCATCTTGCTTCACCATCCAGACCATTAATGAAGATGTTAAACAGGACTGGACCGAATATTGACCCCCTGAGGCACATGATTAGTTACTGACCTCCAACTCTGTGGTGCTGATCAGTGTTCTCTGGCCCAGCCATTCAGTCAGCTGTCAGTCCCGCTCATAGTCTACTACGTACTCAGCCCAGACTTCAACAGTTCTCTATGAGGATCTTATGAGATACCATGTCAAAACCCTTACTGAAACCTACGCAGACTATAACTGCTGCTCGCCCTTGTCTACCAAGCCAGTCATTTAATCACAGAAGGTATATCCTAACGTATCCTAAGTTACTGAATAGTCATGTGTTTTTAGTAAATAACTGAAAACTCTGGTAGTCTATTATGTAAGACGAGAAGTTCCAGATCTTTCAATTTACCAAGCCAAATACTCAACTGAAATAGAAAAGTTTATTTTCTCAACTTGCAGTTCATACAGAAGAAAACAAGGAGGAAAAAACAATTTGCAGATTTAGCAAATTCTTTACCCGTTTTCCTGTGCAGAACCACAATCTTCTGGGTTTTTACCATCTTCTTCTTTGAAGTACTGGCCACTGCTGGATGGATTAGCGAAAGTTGATATGAAAGGCCCCAGAGACTGAAAAGCAGCTTGGCGGACCTAGTGGAAAGGGTCCAAAGGTGGGAAAAAAAATATTTTATATATACAGCTTGCTGTCTTCTAAAACAAACACCTGCTATTAGGAATTGGAAGGTTCATAAGCCTAGAGAAAAGCAACAGCAGAGGCTCTTTCTGGCAAGAGTCAGGCAGTTGGATACATAAAGTGCTAAGGAAAAAAAGTTAAGAAGCAGGGTAAAAACCAGTTAAAACACAGGTAACTAAGTTGGCAGGCCTATTTCCCATCACCAAAGAAATCACAATTATTTAGATAGTTGAAGTAGGTAAATTTGAAAGTTCAGTTGAAAATTTAGCAACTTGAAAGGAAAAAACTACATGCAGTGAACAGACATTTCCCTACCATAAGTTTCACTGATAAGCTCTGCATTTCTTTCCCTTTCTCCTATTTAGCTATGCTGTTCATTTACTCCTCCTTTCTCCTATTATTTGTTCTCCACGTCTCAACAACTGTCTTATCTACTTCCATTTTTATTATATTAATTCTACTAGGTGGTAACTTGCAGGACTTTGCAGGATTCAAGAGCACATGCTCCTGTGCAAAAGATTTACTTTTGGCTCTCGGAAGTAGTCTGCTCAGTAACAAAAAGGTTTGAAGAGTAGACCTTCAAGACAAAAACAAAAAACAAAACAAAACACACAAAAATCCCACTCAAACCAAAACCAAACCAACCCAAAATCAACAACAAACACCACCATCCCATTTCACCTCCCTACTTCCCCCCCAAAAAAGGAGGTGGTGGTAGGGAACTTGAAGAAATACAAATATATCACATCTAATTTTCCAGTTTTGTTAATGATTTTCAGCAACGTTAAGTCAGAGGCAGTTCTGTAGCTAAGAAAAGCTGTCCCACTGACACACTCTCTTACATGCTGCAGTGAAAATGCAAGGGACTCTCTACACCCTTTGACAAACTCAGCAGCCTAAGAGGAATCTTGCTTGAGGTGTGTGTAACAAGTTATGTTATCCACATCTATGGGGAGTTCTTTATGGAGTACAGCAGGAAGATCTTTTAAATATGACAGCTACTCAAGAAATAAAAAACAATTCTTACCCATCGTGAAGGATCACTAATCAAATTAATAAAAAGAGTTGACAATTTTGTCCTCCGGACTTCCTGTGATGTCGCACAAGAAACTGCCATGAAGCATTCAGCACAGGCTTTCCTAACTCCCCACACATTATCAGAGCAGAGCTGGAAAAACCTCGGCAGCTGTTAGGAACATATTGAACAAGTTTACAAGTCTTAACAAAGCAAGTTCTTTTTTCCATATTCATTTCCTTCATCTGGTTCTCTCTCTTCAGATGGTTTAACATGTGCAAGACAAAGAACACATATTCACATATACGTGAACGCACACCACCCATCAGTTGTTCTCATTTTACTTACAGATAAAGATACAGAAAATTTACCTGTCTGAAGAACAGCAAGAACATACTAACTTTCTAACCTGAGTTACATATGTACAAAAAAAATTAAAATAAAAAAACCCAACTCCAAAAATATCCCTAAGCCCAGAAAACCTATAAGATAGAGCTTCATGTCTACACCATTCTTTTAAAGCATTCTTTTTAAGCCTTCTGAAAGGAAGAAAAAGAAAACAAATACTCGGGCAGTAATGTTTTACCTATCAGACATCCCTTCAGACTTCTGTAAGATTCTTACTGAAATGCAAAGGAAGAGCATCTTCAGAAAGAAAGAAAACCTTTCATTTCCACCTAAACTTCTCATTGTTTGATTTACCAATCTCTGTCACCTCCTGTCCTACAAAGCAGGGCCTGAACTGCACTGAGGAATAGGAGACTGAGAGAAACACTGCATTTGGTGCAAGAGAAAACAGGTATGAACAGAGCAGTGGTTTTACTAATAAAACTGAAGCATTTTGAGTTGCTCAGCTGCTCAGGTTTTTCAGAAACAGTAATAGTAAGGGTGAAATGATGGACAGAGTGCAGGTAAGGCAGTCAAAGACACACATGGCTGCTTCGCTTCCAACAGGTAGAGCGGCAAGATGCAAGTAATACAATGACTGTTGCTACCACTCTGTTCTCAATTATTGATGTTCAGCTGTTCCTACTTTGTGTTTTCTGGACTTTGCTTCTGATTAGAAAAAGCATTTATGTTACAAATGAAGTTTCATCTAAAGCCATTCCTCTTTTTCTTTCTTCTTTTTTTTTTTTTTTTTAAATTCAGAAAGAGCAGAAAATGCCATTTTCTGTTATGGAAAGAGATCCCCAACCATTCAGCCACGTTATTGCTTTCACATAAAATAAACATCACTTTTCTATTTCATAGTTTAATTGCACCCTCTACAAAGTTTTAATCCAAATTCGTGACTTGTATCACTAAGAGGACATCTGCATGAGAGAAATCAATTTACAACCCCCATGGAGAAACATATGGGATGTAAATCTGCACGACGACACTTCATTATCAAATGGCTTGAATCACACAGTACCTAGGGAAAAATACAGCAAATGCTGTAAGAACAGAAGAAACGCCCTGAGCATCACATTAGGTGTAACTGTCCCAATACCACAACTGCAAAAGGCTGCGGGGCCTCTTATTGAAGTCCTGCCTGCATTTACACTCCCTCCATGAAGTCCCTCACTAATTCCTGGCACTGACGCCTCAGCCTCCTCTGGCCTTCCACACGTTCACTGTCCACATCCCCAAGATGAGAAAGCTTGAAGAAGGATCCCAGCAGCTGTCAGGCTGATTTCTGCTCCCTAGCCCTGTCATGTCTCGAAGCCTAGCAACATCCACTAGCACCTTGGACCTGCAGGGGACTAGGGCAGGAGACTGAGAACTGTTTCTGCTCACTGCTTCATCTAGTTCCCTGCTTTTCCACTTCAAATTTGTGTTTCTTCCCTTTACTTCAATTTTTATTGCTCAGTCATTTGTTTTCTCTGCCTTTCTTTCTCTTTCACTTCTTCCCAGGACAGCTGTGTGGCTTTGTCAGAGCCAGAAAAACTGTCTTTAAAAGATTAAATCGATGAAGAGCAGCATTAATGCTGTTAAAAGAGACCACATAAGCCTCGCCACTTCTAGCGGTCTACGCCCCACCCCACGCTTCTCCTGTATCTGCAATCTCTCATTGTATTTATGGACATTAGAAGACATCATCTTGCAAAATTTATTTTTTACATTGAAAATACTCTCTGCCTCCACAGCCTGAAGTATTTTCCTCAGTCTAGTTTAAACCCTTCTCCCAGCTCTAGAACCGAGTACCCCTTAGCTCCAGACTGTGTGACTAGGCAAGTAAGAGTTCTGTATTCACAGTAACCATCTTCAAGATTTTTGTAAATGTCAATCATAACCTCACATCAGTAAAACTGAAGAGTCCCAGCTTTTTTAGCCTCTCCTTACTAAGGGAGTACAGCATTTGCCTAATCATTTTAGCTGCCCTTCTGTTTAGTACAGCTCCACTATTGACTTGTATTAAAAAGAAAAATACTGTAAGAAATAGCTTACCAGCATTTCTTCAGTGGCTTGCTGCCCAACCACACTGCAGATATCTCCAAAATTGGCTGCACACACCTTGCAGACAAAATGCGATAAATAACCACTAAGACCATAGCTTTAATAGAGCAAACAAAATCAAAGAAAAAATTTAAACAGCTTTTTAAACCATAAAAACAGGTTTTGATGCAAACTCAGTATCAGCCACTTCCCCATTACATCAGATCCCACAGCTTAAAAAAAAAAAAAAAGTTTTCTTCATGTCAAGCTTTATCAGCCTTTTTTAATCATGAAAGAACCACCCTAGAACTTAAGTGAAAGGGAAGGAGGATAAAACATGTTCAAAGTGCTGTCAAATGAAAGAACAGAAGCACTTATCAAGGAAAGTAAGCAAAATGCCATGATGGAGGACTCATTTATTTCATCTTAATGAGCATCTTTAATTTCGTCTACACACAAGAGATATGAGCTCAGGTGGCTGATGCTGTATCAAGTTACGGTTCGTTCACATTTTCGTGGCTACCTACACAGTCAAAGACAACCAGATTCTTTCTTTGCTTCTGATAATAAAAGTAGGGACTCTGGAAAAAAACTCAGTATAAAATATAAAAATCTGTGGCAATGGGAGCTACAAAAAGTCTATAGCTTTCATTTGTAGGTGTCACAGATGTATGACACTCCTTCTGCCGCTCCCCTCACAGATAATCCAGGTCAGATGTTGATAATTCGTACCTTACGAACATGAAACATTCTGCAGTCACAGCACATCTCGCAGAACCTAGGAAGAACAAGTCTTTCCGTGATGTCCTTTCCCACCATGGAGGCCATTTTGCACATTATCTAATGGCAAGACAGACACTAGTCAGGGATGCTTGCACAACACGCAATTCCATATCAGTTAATTATTGACAATATGCTTAAGTGACTTCTACAACTTCTGTATGTTTTAAAAATTAATTACAACCCTCCATATTGCACAGACACAACTCCCTAACATAAAATTACCGGAAAAGCGTATCATACCAAAGAAAGTGACAGCTTTTCCCTCTAACTGCTCTTTCATCCTGATTTTCATTAAAGTTTTCCAAAAAAAGGAAAGTAACCTGCAATAACTTTACATTCCTAATCATGTCAGTAGAACTATTTTAATTCTTTCTTCTAACCTTCAGGGGATTGCTGAGCTACAGAAACCTTTGTCAAGTTTCAATATCTTCAAAACAATGAAGATGGGTAAAACAATTCTGCTTTTAATTTTATTCTCTTATGTATTTGTAAGCTTCTTCAAGAAAGAACTAGAGATCTGATGCCCAGTACAGTAGGGCTTAGCCTGGTTATTGCTTACAAGTCCAACCACATTATGAAAATACTAAATGATGTCTCTCTCAGGCAAAGAAAAAAAACCAACAAAACATACTCAGCAGAAAGCATCAACATCAATTGCAAAAATTCAAAGGAAATACAAGTGCATACATCATCTGCCATTCCTCCTTTATAAATTAACTTCTTAATCGGTTTAGTATTTAAGTTTGACCATAATTTTTAATTAAGGTTATTTCTAATGCAAAAGTAACCAATCGTGAGTTAACCAACTCAGATGCTTATTATTTTGTCTCCCCCCCCAAAAAAAAAAAAATCAATAGAGAGTAGACATACAACAAAGACCAAAAGAATTCAAGAATTAAAGATTTTCTGTTGATGGAAATTTTCCACATAAGCAATTTAAACTTCCATAAAACAAACAAACCTGAAAAAATACAAAACCAACAACAGCAGATGCTTTAGGAGTCAATAAAATTAATCCCTTGCTCTGCTTTGTCTGGCTAAGTTTTTCTTTACAGCATATATAAACTACTGAATTTAAATCTAACCTTGACTTGAGTGTAACACGCCATGGAAAAAGTTAGAGATTAGTTATGGATAGCAATATAATTTTCTCTCTAAAACCATGTGAATGTGCCACTTGGAAACACACTACCATCACTGTAATGTCAAGTATTCAAGTAAAGTTCATTTGGGGTGATTTGGTATTGCTGTTACTTACAGCCACCGCTTCCGTCTTCACATCGTCATTGCTGTCTGGAGCCGTTAGATCTATCAGCACAGGGCACACTTTGGTCTCCACATCGTATCTCTCGATGAGTTCTTGCTCCAACAGAACTAACAGTGCTGCCTGGCTTGTTTTTCTTACCTACCATAAAAAGACAAAAATTGAACCAAGGATTTAAAAGAGAGGCTTTTTTGAGGTTTTTTTGTTTAAATATGTGTCCCGTATTTTGGAAGCTGTACCTATGTGCTGCCACACACCTGTACTAATTGCACTCAGTGAGAGGACTAGTTCCCTGAAAGCATTTTTGCAAACACTTCATGTTTGAAACAAACTATGGTTGAACCCAAGGCCACCTGCATACTGTAAACTAAGGCAATACTATTATAAAAGCGCCCATCTATACACTTCCCAAAACGCATTGGTAAAAAAACTAGTCAAGGCAAAGCTCATGCAATACATAAAGAAAAGCAGCACAATCATTGGGAGTTAAAAATTTCTAAGAAATATGAATTGTATTAAACCAATCCTCTTTTTCTGAGATTAGCAAGTTTGGCTGACAATGAATAGCTGTGTTTATTTGGAATGTATTTTAAATTCTGAGACAGAGTTTTGCTTGGCCTTATAGAACTAAAAAAAGATTACAAAAAGAAAGATAACCACTAATAATTGACTTCAAACATAGCTAACCCTTGCCTCTCAAAAAGTAATTTCAGCAGAAAACATTACCTAAAGAAAGAGGCTATACACTGCAATGCACCAGTTTTGAAAACACCTTTGACATCTTTGTTTTGGAGCAAACCACCAAAGGAACTATGAGGTGTCAACAGAAGTTAAGACAACAAAAAGAACTGCTAAATCTGCTAGCAAGAGAATATCAAGCAGAAGTATGGTAGTTTCATTACACATGAATTTGCAAAACAACTACTAAGAAATTATGGAAAATCTGAAAAGGCCAAGGAAAAAAAAGTGACAAACTCAGCAAATACTTAAAATAAATGTATCACCCAGGATCAGTGTAGTCTGAAATGACATGGAGAAGCCTAGAGAAAGCTTTAGGTAAGCTAACTCATACACGCAGAAAACAAACCACAAAAGTTCAATCCAGAAGTTTTACTGGATCCTTATACAAATATCTGGTTATGAAGGTACATAATGATGTTAAAAACTGAATTAACCCAAGAAGTCAGTTTTTCAGAACTACTATTCCTTCTTGCCAGATTTTGAATTATGTAAGCTTATCAAAATGACTGTTTGATTTTTGTCCATAAGAATACAATACCAGAAAAAAGGCCTCAAATCAGAACAGATCATGTTAGATGAAAAAATGTTGGAAATTTTCTTTAATTAAAAGTTCAGAATGTCATGTGTTCACACCTATTCAGTATCTTCTTACCCCAGAATATTACACACTTGTACGATACTAAATTTAACACCAGGTATCTTCAACTAGCTAATGAACTACTTGTAAAAGAAACTTACCTGGTTATTCTGGTCTGCGAGGTATCGTACCACAATAGGCAGTAAGTATTTGGAAAAAGCATATGGGATTGAAGGTCTGTTTTCTTGACAGAACATAGCAATGTGAGGCACCTGTTCCATCAGTTCTGCCCGCACTGTTGGCTCTGTCAGGGTCAAAATAAAACCAAACAAGGCACAATGAATGTTTACAAGCATGCTGCCAGATATTGCCAGCAGCAGCTTTTTACAGTCCTATACATACAAAGTATGTTCTTACATGTTCACACCAGCATGTTTTATGTCAAGCTTCATTTTGACAAGCACCATCTTTTTTCAAAGTCGGGTACAACTTCACTCTGTACTGCTAAAATACTATAAAGATGGGTCTCCCACATTCTCAGTAAAAAACAAACAAACATGAAGAGGTGTAAGAGAGCAAGCCACAGAACATTCTGAGTATCGCAATATGTCTGAACTCCCTGCAAGCATCACCTACTTCAAAGAAAGCTACTAAGCAGAAAGTCAACCCAACACTGGTACCGCTACAAGATGAAATGAACTGCGCGGGACTCCTGGCCACAGCTTCTTACATGGGAAAGATCCCACTGAGCAGGACAACCAGCCACAACCACAGATGCTCCTCTTCATCCTTTGTTTTTTAAGGCTACTGATATTTTCATCAGATAGAAAAGGTCCTGCATCTTTCCAGCTGCTTGTGTTAAACCTTTCAGGTATGTTTTTCATCAGAGTTGGTGACTATTTAAAAAATATTTCATGCATTTTTTAAATTCAAGAAATGGTGCACTGCTTGAATGAAACCTAATCCCCACAGAACATGCAAATCTATTTGGGGGATGAGAGGAGAAATATGAAAATAAATACAACTATAGATTAAATTCCAACTATTAAAAAAACAGCTTCAATTTAAGAAGTAGGTCATTACCATGAGCCTGATAGTCCACCTGTCCACAGGAAAACAAAAAAAGTGTATCATTTCAGAAGTACTAAGTATTTCTGTCCTTTCAGAATTTGCTGACATCTGTAGTTACTATTAGAGAACTGATTATCTATAAAAATGCGTAACAAAAACCCATCAATTACAGTCAAGTTACAGTAATTTGATTTACAATATTTAAAATAATAAGATCCGTTCACAGGATATGCATGCCTTACTAAAATTTTTACCTATGAATTGTTCAGGTAAAACTTAATGGTATGACCAGAACCATCTTTCTCGGAATACCTGGAATTAACATGACACATTAAAAATACAACCTTTTGCTAAATAGAAGCACATAACTTGCATTTGTATTTAACATGGCCAGTGCACACAGCACTTGGCTTTCTTGAACACTGGTTAAAAGTGACAGCTTACGCTTGAATAAAATAAAACAAAGATAAAGCAAGTACCATGCTGAGTGCAGACGTTTCTTCAGAGGACAATAAGAACAGAACATGGCACACAAATTAAATACCCATGGGCTCCATTTCTTTGACTACAGACTTCAATTACTACCCTATAGAAAAACATACCAAAATCAAATACCGAACACAAATTAGCCAAAGCAGTCCTTAGAACATGAGATAGGATAAGCTGCAATTCCTCATTAGCATGAGGTTTTCTCAGGAGCGGGGGGGGGGGG